CCCGTCCCCTCAGCCCATGGGTTGAAAGGTGGGGCTGCATCTTGGACACACGCTGGGACGCTTGGTCATGCTGTGTGGGGGTGAGGGAGAGCCCTCCTGCGTCAGGGCGAGGGCAAGATGGGAGGGAGGGGGTCTGGGATGTGCCACAGGACACAGGTCGTGTCTCCCACAGCCCGCCTGGCACCGGCTCAGCCCTTCCCTTCCCTGCAGGGTCCCCGTGCGGCCTGCCCGCCATGCCTTGCATCACCCCGCTGCCCCCGGGCAGCCTGGGGCGAGCAGCACGGAGCCGCGGGCGAGACGGAGCTGCCGTGCTCACCAGCTGGATCGCGATCATCAGGACAGTCTTGAGCGTGAAGGTCCGGTCGCACAGATCAAAGAGATCTTCTAGGCTGGGTCCTAGCAGCTCCAACACCATGGCGTTGTACTTCCCGCAGGGGCCAAAGTAGTAAACCTGAGGAATTCCTTCTGCAAGAGAGGGAGGAGAGGAGGTGCTGCCAGGGGTTGCTGCAGGGCTGAGCAGCACACAGCCATGCTGCCATGGCCGTGCCATCGCTGGAGACAGGATGGGAGGGGGAAGATGGGGATGTGTCTCTGGGCTGCCCTCCCTCCCCCTGTGCTGCAGGCAGCCCTGCTCTGCTCTTGGCAGGAGGGTGAAGGAGGCAGCTCCATCTGCATCCCTGACTGCTGCGGGGGAGGTGGGGGGAAAGAACTAAATAAAAAGGGATCAAAGATTAGATGTGGCTCTGTGTAAAACCGGCCTCTCCCAGCCGAGCAGATGGGCAGGAGTCACCCCGGCGGGAGCGAAGTCGCAGTCCCATCCACAGGAAACCTCCCGTTCCCAGCATGGGCCAGGCAGGCAGCCCGCTCCCCACGCCAGCCCAGCCGGCCCCGTACCTGCATTGCCGAGCTGTTTGTAGAACCGATACTCCAGGTGCAGCTGGGGGGCCCGGGATTTTATGGGTTCCTTGGAGGAGAGAAGGAGAAAGGTTACGGCTGTTGTAGGGAGCAGGATGTTAGGGAGGTCTGGGTGCCAGACACCTCCTTCGCATGCTGGCAGCAGCTGGACTGAGCGCATTTGGGGTGGAGAACAACTGGTATAAAATGGAGATGAAGCCTCAGGGGACATAGAAAACCTGCCCATACAGGAGCCAGATCCAGCCCCCTCCCCAGAGATCGGGGTGCTGGGCAGACATTAATGGGAGCAGGTACCAGTGGGGACCACCCTCTCCTGGAGGGCTCTGCTGCAAGCTGAGCGCAGCACAGGCCGCAGGGAGGTCCTGGAGGAGACCCAGCTCCACTCCCCGGGCCCAGATCACCCCACCTGCAATGACGCGTGTTGCTTCGCCTGCTCTCAGTTCCTGGCAGCGAGCAAGGACCCGCTGCGCACCCACCACCCGCCACCCCCTGGGCCAGCCCCCGCCGCTCGGCCTGCTCTAACCACCTGGGGGGAACAATCTCCTTCCCAGGTGGCCTGAACATGGCCCGACCCCGGAGGGACTCACCAATTTGATAGCTACGTATTCATTCGTGTAGAGGTTCTTTCCTGCAGGAGAGACAAAAAAAGGCAATTGATAGCAATGAGCCTTTGCACGAACCCCACACCACGCCAGGCCGAGGGCTCCGGGGCTGCAGAATGTCTGGAACAGGTTTGGAGGCTCCCACAACACATAAACAGGCCTCGAGGCAGGAGCAGAAGCAGGAGCAGGGGCAGGGGCAGGAACGCACGGCGGGGAGTTGCAACATGCCTGCTCATTAGCCCCAAACGGGTAGTGGGTTGCTCTGGGATGGACAGGCTGGGGGGGGACACAGTCAAGTCTGCTGGGGGGGCAGCCCCCC